TCAACTCGATTAACGATCCCCAAAAGCAAATTCTCTCTGCATTTGAAAAGTATAAAATTGTCGAAGATGAAAATAACCCACTTACCCAATCTCGCATGTTCCTTAAATACTCACTTGTAGTGTATCGATACATGTTAAGATTCGGTGCAAAGTCTCCAGTTGTTAGCTATTTGATGAAAGAAATTGTAATTGTTCATACGTGGCTTACCGATACAGAGGATATAGACAAATTGAGAGATGCAGATACTATCCTTGACGAATATTATACCGCAAATATACCTTTCGATCGATCACTTTTACCGCTGTTCAAAGAATGCTCGCGCGCAGAACCAATTAGCTATTTATTTGAAGGATATCTTCCAGCACTATTCGGATCCGAAGTCCAAAATCAATCATTTGTGACATTCCAAATTCCGGAAGTAGATGTACTCCCGTCATTCATACAAACGGAAGAGTTGCAGCGACTTTGGTTAGAAGACATTCAAAATTGTATCCAATCCGATGCATTAGTAAATGGCGAATTTAAAAGGCAAATTACAGAGTTTTTTAAGCTTTACAATTTAACGCACAGTAGTTTTGTCGGTAAATTTGAGGGAATATGGTTTTAAGATTAAAGAAGTTAAAAAATTTTTTCCTATGTATTCCAAGCGCAATTATTATGAAAACATTTTACGTAGTTATGCAGGAAAATATGGTTTGTTAATTGTCTTTGTCGAGAAATATTTGGATTAACTTGAACATTATGCCTTTTGATGATCTTGAAAAGTTTCCTCATGCGCTCTGACTATTAATTACCCCTAAATGCACACTCCAGAAATACACTATTCTGTGGTCCCGACTTCAGGACTTGATACTTACACTCTATATTCCGCACGCCACGTGTAACAATCCGAGTAAATGCACACACGTGATTTAACAATAATATAATTTTGTCTCCATAATTTCCTCGGTGGCCTAGCGTTTGATGGCAATGATTGGTCAGTTTTCTGCACTAGTCTTTATCCAGGCAATTTTTCGCTTTAAATGGTTAGCGTCATGCAGTAAAGTCCGGGTCAATCTTATATATTCTATTCTATTCATTTTATTGAATTTCATTCATTTCGTTTCATTTCATTGAATTGAATTTGAATTCTATCTCCAGGAGCGAAGTTTATTTTATACCTTTTTTGTGCACACTCACTTGACAAAAGTGATTGTCACAAATAAATTTATTATGATTGTCTTAAATTTGAAATAAATTACATAATTGCATTGTAACTGGTGTAATAGTAGTATAGTTATAATATTTTTGTATAATAAAAAGATAAGCAGTAAATTCTAAGTAGCAGCGAGTATTATGTCGAAAGTTCTGCGATGATGATCCGTGTGGTGTGATGAAGGATTCTTTGATGTGGTGCGATAAGGGCGGAGTTATAACATCACCAGATATGAACAATGCAAAATTATTTGCACGCACATTACTAAATGAAACATCTCTATTCAATCCAAACTTATTCGTATTGCTTCATCCACGTCCAAAGATTAAATGTGAACAGTATCTTTTTGGTTGTGCAGCAAAAGAGTAGTTAGCGAAAGAGATTTAGATAGGATTTTTATTTGTTAGTAGACAAATATAGATAGAAGTGAGAGGGAAATTTGATTGTGTAGTTAGCGAAAGGGATTTGGATAAGATTTTTATTGTTACTGTATGTAGCACAAATACGGTCATCTAAACTAAATAACAATCTTTATTGGAATAATTATAAGAAATATTTACGGAAATGGAAGATACATAGTCATCGGTTTTGGTACACTGTGTATGTATTGACACATTCGATAGAGCAAGCGCATATGCTGGGAAAATGTATAAGAACGAATGAGCGAACAATGAGTAATTACAGTAAATAGTTTATTTAGTATAGCTTTCTGAGAAAATATCATTTTGAATAAGATATCGTTTTATTGGTCCTTCTGTGTCGGAGAAATAATCAAGCTTGTTTTAGTAGTCGTGACAAGAGTATTACGGTACGGGAAATGGAAAATACGAGTCATCGATCTAATATTCCCGTATTAAAGACGCACATGTGCAGTATAAGAATAGTATAGTCAATAAAATTAAATAGGTTTAGTAAAATTTTCGAGAAAATGTAAGTAGAATCAATTTGTTGATTTGATAGTCACGAAAATATGGCTAATTATATCAATAGGTCATGGTGAAATATGAGGGCAATCATGTGAATTAAAAAATGAAGTGGATGGGTTAGGGTTTTATTTCTAGGCGTTCATATTTGCGTATGACAGCTTGATCAACGGGCAAACGCTTGTTTATCTAAGCAGGGGATTTCTACAACGTCCCACGGCTGAGTTTGACCAGTAGCGAAAAATCGTTTATCCAATCCAGATGTAAAGAGATGTGTGGATGTTAGCCTCGAGCGAAACAATGTTGTAAAGGAAATTGTTTGCAGGAGAATTTATGCCATTCACGTGTACTAGTAGAGATCTATTACCAAAAAAGTAACGTATATTTGGTCGAAAACTACTTAGACTGGTAGTATGTTGATAAGAGAAAGATATTTCTTTGGTATATTGAGAGGTATCGGAGTAAGTGTAAGACATGTTCGATTATTGAAATTTGATTTGCATCCATCGCAAAGCAGATTGCAATTTCTGGGTTGTGTGGATTAGTAGTAAGATTTATTTGGAAATATGTTCGCAAAGGATAAGTAGTGTCATTATTTCCGACTACCCATTTGCAGATTGTGGGTATAATAACGCGAGCAATAAGAACAGGGAATGCATGAAAACTGAGCGTACTCTTCTTCATAAAGTAGGCGTAAAACTTTTTGCAGTTCATCGGAAGGCCAGTATGTTGTATTTGAAGGATTATAAGTTTGGGAAAGTGGTATTTCGGATGGTATGAGTAAAAAGACAAAAAGGATGGAAATCGACCACGAATTAGTAACATTGCACAACGTAGATCATTTCATTTGCTTGAAGAGAATATATCGAGAGCTTGACAAACTAATAAGTAGGATGCTTTATGTTAAAGACCAATGCAAAACACTTAATAAATTGTAACCGGGTAAGCAAGAATGTATGCGACGAAGAGTACTTGATTTACTAATAATATAGCGTTATAACAGAGGGGGTGCGTTTAAGGAGAGCCGGTAGTTTTTAAGTGCCTGATAAGAATAGGCCATCCATAGCATTATTGTAGATCTGTGTACCCTGTTAATCTTGCGTGACACAACCATGCGGGGGGCATTTTCTTATCGGTGAGAAAGTAGCGATATGTTTGATAACAGCATTTGCTACATGGTTTATGTTGGTTTATTCATGTAAACATATTAATAAAGAATATGGCGTTGGTTCTTTTTGGTTGCAACAACAAGAGATGGGTTGAGTCATCACTATTTAGCATTTATTTCAGTATTTACGTAATCATTAATAATACTTTAAGATATTCGGCCTTTCTTTGTAGGACTAAAAAAAGAATCTACATTGGGAAAGCTATTGTCTACGGATAATTTTCTTATTTGTCGTATCGGTCTACGTTGTTTGAATCTGCTATCTATTCATTCCGCAATGAACTAATATACTCTACTTATTTTTCTTTTAAAGTTTCATACTACTTGTAGAACGTGAACAATATATCAAATTCGTACCATTTTCAAGAATTTTTACTTGTAATGCTTGTAATGGTTAGATGGGCGATTTTGAATGAAACATACCGTTACACAAGCATAAAAAAAACACGTAAATAATTTCTTTATACAGGCTTGCTGGAATTGTTTGTCCGGATGATTATGAAGACTAGATTAATAAACCAAGTTGTTAAATAGTGAGCAAGTTGCAGTCGATTGGGTCGATATCTTATTGGAAGTACCCTAGCCCTTGTTTGATATATAGATATAAATATACGCAAATATCTATCGATGCGTCAGCCAAAAATATTCTCTGATAGAGCTTTTTGAGCCCAAGAAAGTATGTGTATGAACAACAAGTCTTGTTTGATTTGTAAGCGATTAGCTGTATATGCGCCTGAAGACGACGTTTTCTTTGTATTTGAAAGCACTCCAACTAAACAGTTCAACAACACATATCAGTATATGGTAAAACATCTTCAGCCCATGTTAATAAGTAACAAGGCAACCTCTTAATGAGTAGAAACCTATTAATAAAGAAGAAAAATTATTCTTGTATTTTGCAATCTGGCGTTGCAGTGATGCCATTTACATTATCTTTGTTACACGGTCAAACTTTTATAAAGGTTTCCATTTATGTTTAACAAAAGTACGCATTTAGACAGATTGCATTATTACGAGATTCGATATAGTGAGACGCAAATACTAAAATAAAGTAAACATTAAATATTGAGAGGGGAGAGCAAAGTCTGCATCAATAAGCTTAATTTCCGAGATATTCATGTTGTCACATTGGCACATTGATAAAGACTTTGTTGCGCTGCGGGAAAAGAGTACAGGCAATCTAATTTCGTGCGTCAAACGTTGTCGTAAAAATAAACCATATTGTGCAACACTTTCTATGCATTATGCAAATCATAAGCTGCTGCGTATACACCATACTCCCATTTATTCACATATACGATAATGTACTGTACGTAATATAATAGAGATTGCTGTAGTATTATTCGGTGTTTCAGCGTCTACCAAATACCTCTTTACAATATAACCACATATATGCTAAACTAATTCGCATGCAGTACCTTTGACAACATTGTTTATGTCAGCACATCGGCTGCCTGGGTCCCTCGCTTATTGTCTCATTGATTGTTAAGCCATAAATATGGCTTTTAAGATATGATTACGTTGACTTTGTAATTGACATACATAAATAGTGCCATGCATCTCGGCAAAATCCAATGTTTTTCTTATTGCAGGAGATAAAGATTAGGCATTAGGTACGTGATTGCTAATTGAGGTCAAATTAAACGGACGGTTTATACTCAAAGTCTTAAAGTTTTATATACTGACATTTTTATTGTACGTATTAGTACTTGTGCCACTAAACTATTATATAGGTTCTGTTTTACTTAAAAAACACCTTCATTATTGTTTATAAATAGGTGGAGATCGAAGATACAACCATCGCTATACTTCCGCAATGAAGAGACTACCTATAGAAATCAAAACAAAAATTGCGAGTCACTTGGAAACACCCTACTTGCTTGGCTGCTGTTCGCGTGAATGGTACAGCGTAGTAAATTTGCCACATACAAAATATAGATGGCTAATCAACAAGTATGGTCGTATTCATGCTTTGTTTCACGCTGTAAGAATCGGCGAACCGTTCCTCAACCTCGACGTGGCCGAGCTTGTGCTAAAAAATTCTCGTATCAGCCGGTACCTTGTTCAACGACTCAAACTTGTTTATGGAAAGCACTGTCTGTGGGGTAGCAATATTTCCAACAATGTATACGAACGAATTCTTAATTATAAAGCGGAATATGCAAGCAGCAACTGTGATGACATGCAGTCAATCTGTCAAGTATTAGAAGGATTGGGAAACGAAGACGATATCAGAACAATAATTGAAGTACATAACCTCACACCTTTTCCGCTTAGTCCAACTTTCCGAACATATATATTCGAAAATTCTGCATCTTCATCAGATGATCTGCATTCAAACGGTGGTTACGCAACAGTTTCTGAATTGAAGATCATGGCCAAGGCGATAATCACTTATCCAAATTTGCTGAACGCCTGGAGGAGGATAGGCTACCACGAAGTAACCACAGACTTGGAAAACCCTGTTGTGCAACTTACCCTATTAAATCTTTACTCTACAAGCGTTCCTTCAGCTCAAGTGGTTGCTGAAAAGCTATGCTATCTACAATCAATTGGATTTCCACTGACTGACACTCTGATTGGAAATGCTCTATTTCTATTCAGACGGAGATTAATCGATGTCGGCGAGAGTCTTATTGAAGGCTTTTCTATTGCTCGGAAAATGTCCAGGACGGATGTACGTGAGATGTGCTTGATAGAATTGCTTGATCCGACAAGAAATCTTGAATACGTTGATGTGCTTGATTATATCATCAAATCCGTCAACGATCCCGAAAAACAAATTCTCTCTGCATTTGAAAAGTACAGAATTGTCAAAGATGAAAATGACCCAATGCTTTTCCAATCTCACACGTCTTTGAAATACTCACTTGTAGTATATCGATACATGTTAAGATTTGGTGCAGCAAAGTCGGTTGTTAGATATTTGATGAAAGAAATTATTATTGTGCATACGCAGATCACTAATACAGAAGAACTAGGAGATGCAGATATTATCTTGGACGAATACTATGCTGCAAATGTACCTTTTGAACATTCGCTTTTGCCACTCTTCAAAAAGTGTCCGCGCGCAAAACCAATTATTTATTTATTTAAAGGATATCTGGCAAAGCTGTTCGAATTTGAAGTCCGAGAGTACCCATATTTGACATTCGAAATTCCAGATGTAGATGTACTTACATCACCCGCGCAAACAAAAGAGCTGCAGCGACTTTGGCTAGAGGACATTCAAAAATGTATTAAATTCGAAGAGTTGGTAAATGACGAATTTAAAAAGCAAATTATAGAGTTTTTTACCATTTACAATTTAACGCACAGTAGTTTTGACCATCAGATAGAGTTTCAAGACTAAATTAAGAGTTTTATTTATTTTCCATGCATTTTAAGTGTTATTTCTGAAAGTTTATGTATTCTAAGTACAAGTACCGATTATTATTACTAAGACAAGCAAGTAAAAATATGTTTGGTTAATAACCTTACAAACATTTAAAAAGTGTGCTTTTTTGGTGTCTTGTCATGTGAGTTGACCTGTTAAATGACATTCGGTAATTAGTTAGATTTTACAACTGCCTGATATAGACGGTGCTACCATAAAAGATGCAATGCCAACTCAGCCATGATGGATATCGACGACTTCTAAAAAAGTCAAAGTTTTTTTCCGCAGTCGGAAGATGTTTCTACTTTTAGTGAGCAAATATTTTGCAATATTAGCGACTTTAAGATATTGACCAAAACGTACCCGTCCCCTTACCAATATAGTCTAGACCGCCTGCAAAATGCCTTTAGAAGAAATCAAATAATAAGCAGTCTCTATAGCAATATCAATATCAATAATCAATAATCAATATTTATAGAATTCCATCAATAGGCATTTTTGCCTGTTGGAAATTTCTTCAGACGCCTTGTCATGTACAGCCCTCTCCAAAAAGTCACGAGTAACACAAAATTTTACAAATCATACCATGAAAATCGTGCATTGTAAACGTAAAATTTTAGCAGCATAACTGTATTTTACGCATTAATTAACGTTAAACTTGTTCGCAGTATTGTGTTGCACGTATTTATTACATTTTATAAAAAGATTTTTACCTTCCTTTAATAAAAAAGATTGTCAAAGTTAGCGAAAAATTTCGCTGATTTATCCTGGAATTTTAATCGACAAAATCGCAAAATCCACATTGTAACCGGAAAAAACTTATTAAAAGATTGTATTCAGAATAAATGAGTATAAAGTTTTATAAATTTTCGTTAACAAGTGGCTTAAAATTAGTAAACTATAGAGCTATATATGTGAACCCTTCATAAATGCACGCCATCGGAAATCGGAGCGTGCATTTAGAGAGGGATGCATTTATTGGTTTCACATGACTCGATAAAAGTAAACTAATGTAATGTTCAAGCACTCTTACATATTTTAGCAACTTTTTAGAGTCTTGCTGCTGTTGCTGAACCCACTTCGAAGGAAGAAAAATAGATAAACTTTTAGAAGCACGCCTCAATTCTCCCAAAATAAAATGAACGAACGGTTTAGTCTGCATTATCATAACGATTCGAATGAAGTCACGACAGATTATGATAGATTTTGCAGTATATTGATGATAGTTTTTTTGAGTATCTATTATTAACGACGGAACAAAGATGACTTTTGCTTCCCTAATGATAAGGAAATTCATTATCCGTCTGTTACTGAAACTAAAGCCGCTTAACGATCACGATTCCACTTGGCCTGATAGAAATTGAGTTTATTTCAGGCATACACTCCTATTCAGTTCTTTGATCTTTCAGTAGACAACAACGTTTTATAACATCTCCTCTTTGTACATTCATCCAATCGTCTCGTTTGTCCTATAATAATCCATCGTCTCGAGACATTGTACAATATAGATCACGTGAAATCACGGGCGTGCAGTTGACTGTAGTAAGATTCCTTCACTGCTGCAATTCTATTTGGCATACTATTTACAAAATTTTGGTAAATGTTAACATCGATATTATGACATTCTGTTTGAAGTATTGTTGTGTTTTATGCCAATTCCGATCTGACATACAACAATCATAGCATAGTAATATAATACCCTTGTCACAGATAGTGTCTTGTCATGTAATCAATAGCAATGCTTTAGATTCTGTTCGCTGATTTATATTCATTTACTCATTCTACATACGTTCCAGCAATTTATTCAAATAAACAATAAACAATGGACCTCATAATTAAAAGTGTGGCTTGTTCTGTCACACTGCGTCAGGGTGTGTAACACATCATTGATATAGTACTGGAGAATTGCAGAACTTCAGATCGACAGTAATAACGATGACATCAATTTCCGCTGATAAAGACTGGCTAGAAAAGAGTATTGAAAGTGAATACATTCGATTCTATCCTTATGATGACTTAATCGATAAAGATTGCATAGGCCATGGTGCATTTGGTGTAGTTTTCAAAGCAACAGTAGTAACATCGGGCATCACTGTTGCCTACAAGATGATCAAATATTGGGACGAAGACGAGTTCTTTAAATGCTTTGTAAAGGAGGTTTGTAATTGTGCATAGTG